TCTGTCCTCTGCTCCCATCTTCTCCCTCCACTTGTGTCTCTCCCTCCCTGAACCTCCCCTCCCTTTCACTCATGTACTCGCCTCTTATACTCTTCCCACCACTCCTCTCCTATCTTCTTCAGCCTTACCCTCTCTTCCGTTCCTGTTCTCTCTGCCATTGGCTTCCACTCCTTCCTTCCCCACCTGTCCTTTCCTCCCTATCCCTCCACTCCACTCCTCTTGCCTTCCCCCTTACCCTCATCTCCCCATCACTCCTGTCCTCTCTTCCCTTGCCTTCAAAACTTGCTTTCCAATCCTCCTCTGCACTTTACTTACTTATCTATGTCTTCCCTCCTTCCCATCTTCCTCCTCATTTTCCCTCGCAGTCTTTCTTGTTTTGTAGACTCTTTTGCTGTTCTTTATCTTCCCTCTTTTCTCCTCTCCTCACCTCTCTTATCATGCTCCCCATTGTCCTCCTCTCCAAGCCTCTCCTCTCTTCCTGGAAATCCTCTCCCTTCTTTTCCACTTTTCTTTTCATCACTTCTCTTCTCCTGAGATCCTCTCCTGTGTTTTTCGCCTCTTTTACCCTTTTCCTCACCCCTTCCCTTCTCTCCTGTCCCTCCTCTCCTTGCCTCCCCTCCTCCCTATCATCTCCCATACTTTCCATCTCTTTTTTCATCCCCACAAACCCTCCAATCTTTTCCTCTCTTTCCTTCTCCTCCTCTGCTTTCTTCCTCTCCTGACCTGTTCTCTCTCATTTTCCTCACTCAACTACGCATTGTCTCCTGTTATGTTCTTCCTTCTCCTAACCTCCATTACATTTTTCTCTTTCCCATCCTTTACTACTCTCCATACCTTTTTCTTGGTTCCCCTTATGTCCTTTCTCATCCTTTCCTACTCTCTTTTGATTATTACCTTGTCCTTCTATCCAATATTCTCATATTCTCTCTTCCAGTCCACCCCTCTCTTCTCCTCTCCTCTCTACTGTATACATCTCCTGTTATTCAAAGTCCTACCTTAGTGCAAAAATCCCTCTGTAGCTTTATTACTTCAGGCTTGACCTACATGATTATGGCCCACCAACTACCACCCCCTTGTCCAATGAAAGAGCCTTAGTGGCTAATAAGGCCACTCTCAAGGGGCAAGAGATTGGCTGTTAGCACCAGTCAGTCCCCCAGTAACAAAGTTAAAACCAGTTTTGAGGTTTTGAGAGTCACTTTGTAGAGCCTGCTGTTAGGTAGAAAATTTTTGTTTAAAAGTTTGGAAATGGCTGACAGGTTTACGCAAAGCTAAATATTACAGTAACTTAAATTATGCACTCATAGAAAATCTATAGCTACTTTTTAAACTAATTCACATGGCCTGAGAAATGTCATGGCAACTTGGATGGCAAAAAATCACAGAAAACTCAATCATATATTCCCTAATCAATCCTGCTTTCCTAGCATATGAAAAATAAAGACTTCTAAAACCAGAGCCAGAGAACATTAACCTTATATAGCTTTTATTTTGTCCTCCGTCTAATAGCAATGTACTGAATTCATATATTTCTTATTTCTGATGTCAACCTAAGACTTTGCTGGGCAGCATTTATACTATAAATCACAGAGGAAACAGGTGAGCCGCTGGACAACAGAGAAGGGGTTTTGTAAATCAGGGTAGGGGAGCAGGCTCTGCAGAAATCACATGAACTGCAGAAGTGTGTATGAACCCAGTGGGCTTGCTCCTGTTTCCCCACACAATGCAAAAACATATTGGTAGGTTAAAGGACTCCCATCCAAATTGTTTGTTGTGTGTGTCTGATTGTGTGGTAGGCAGTACCTGGATAAAATCTTTTAGCACCCGGGCAAAAGGCCTAAGTATGTCACTCAAGCCAAAAAGCCTCCCCCCTCCACTGTCCCACCCTACTCACAACCTAAGACTTTGTTGGGCAGAATTTATACCGTCAATCACAGAGGAGACAATTGAGCCCAGGAAGAGCAGGGAAGGGGTGTTGTAGATCAGAGTAAGGAGCAGGGGCAGACTGACAACTCATGGGGCCCCCTGGGCAATAGGGGATCATGGGGCCCCTGTGTCCTTGCCCAAACTCAAAAAAAACTACGAAAAAGGTACCAGGGACATCTCATGGGGCCCCCTACTGACCCCGGGACTTCGGGAAGTGCCCGAGTTTCCAAATGGTCCCTGGTAAGGAGTAGACTCTGCAGATGCCAGATGGACATCAAGACAGCTTGGGGACATGGCTGACAATGGAGGCCCAGGGAGAACATTGCCCTTGAAGAATTGCATGGAGCGTGTATGATGTCAGGGGGTTGATCCTGTTTCCTCTCACAATTAAAAAACACTCTGGTAGGTTAAGTGACTCTTACTCAAACTAGTCTTCAGGTGTGCATGACTGTGTGGTAGGCAGTGCCGAGACAAGGCCCCTTAGCACCCAAGACAAAAAGGCCAAAGTAGACCCCCAAACCCCACGAGCTTTGAACTAATTTAGCCATATAGGTTACAGGTCCTACCCTTTTTGCGTCCCCACCCCCCTCCTGCTGAAGCAGCCTGGTGGTTGGGAGACTAGACAGTGAGGTCCTTCAAGGAGAAGAATTGATATGATCAGTTCTCCTTAATCTTCAAAGTGCTGTTAAAAAGTTTAGGTACTCTAAAAACAAGCAAATCAAATATGCAAATAAACAGATTTAATGATTTCATCAGCTACTCATTTAAAAACAATAGCTTACGTTTTAATTATACCGGAGTTATTCCTTAACATCACTAGGGCAGAATGGATAAACATATTAGGGAAATGCATGCACAGACTTCGGATGGAGCTTGAATAAATCCTCTCATTAAAGCTTGTAACCAGCAGAGACTGACCGGATAAGAGAATTACGGGTGTCACAGCTGAATGCGAAACACGTTATGTGGATTGAATAGAACTGAGGAATTATTAGAATACCAATGAATTTATTTATAATTATGTATAAACATGTATATGCATTCATCTAAACAGCAAAACAACAAAGCTGTAGATGTTCATTAACCACATGCCGCTCAGCCATTGTAGAAATACGTTGGCAGGGCGGTACGGCTGGGCAAAACCACGTTTTATAACATGTGTTTGCAAAACAGGTAGGGGGCGCACACGAGACGCGCCACCACCCTACCTGTCCTGCTGGTCATGGCCGCGGATGTCAGTCGCCGGGTCACAGCCGGTCGTTACCGGATGTGTCCCGCCGATTAGCGGCAATCACTGACAGAGAGCAGGGCTGCAGTAGCTCTGCTCTCTGTTAGTTCCCTGTCAGTTCCTGACACGTTGAGCCAGAGAGAAGAATTTATCTCTCCCGATCAGCTGCCCCTGTGCAGTACACACCCCCGCCCCCTAGTAAAAACACTCCCCTCACACAGTTAACCCTTTCAGTGAATAAAAAAGTTAACCCCTTTCTCCCCAGTGCCATTAGTACAGTGTCAGTGTTTTTGTTTTGCACTGAGCACTGTATTGGTGTCACTGGGGATGTCAGTGACCCCAAGTCAGTTCTCCCCCAGTGTCAGAATGTCCACCGCAGTCCCGCAGTCCCGCCATAAGTTGCTGATTGCCGCCATAAGTCAGTGATCACCGCCATAAGTCGCTGATCGCCGCCATTATTAGTATAAAAAAAATTAAAATCCCAGTATCCTTACCGCCATTTGTCAACGCTATAACGTTCACGTAAACCAATTAATTTACATGTATTGGGGTTTTTTTTAGCAAAGACATGTCGCAGAATGCATTTTGCCCGACATTTATGACGAAATTTGATTTTTAAATTTTTTTTACTGCACAGGTTTTATAGCAAAAAGTCCAAAATATAGTTTTTTTGTCCTCACAATTGTCAGCCTTTTTAAAAAAAATAAAAAACGCACAGTTGATCAAATACCACCGAAAGAAAGCTCTATTTGTGTGAAAATACCGTATTGCATGACCGCGCAATTGTCCATTAAACTAGCGCAGTGCTGTATAGCAAAAAAATGGCGTAAATTGCAGTATCTATACCATAGTTTGTAGACGCTATAACTTTCACACAAAGCAATCAATATACACTTATTGGGATTTTTTTTTACCAAAAACATGGAGCAGAATACATTTTGGCCTAAATTTATAACTAACTTGGAGTTTACTATATATTTTTTATAGCTGAAAGTAAAAAATATTGTTTCTCTTCAAAATTTTTGGTCTTTTTTTATTGTTTATAGCGTGAAAAAAAGGACGTAAATTTCGTTTGGGTGCAGCATTGCATAACCGCGCAATTATCAGTTGAATTAGTGCAGTGCCGAGTAGCAAAAAGAAGCCTGGTCATTAGGGGGGTAAATCCTCTGGAGGGAAAGTGGTTAAGCAATTCTATGTTAAAAAAAATAATAGGGACATGATAAATGGGCAACAAAAGATTGGATAAACTGTCTGATTGTTAAAGTACACCTAAAGGCAAACTTTTTTTTTTTCGTTTTGGATAAAGTGGTGAGGGGTTGGACCCATTGTCAGGTTTTTATTGCTGTCTGTGTCCCCATTGGGCAGATTCACTCTCTATCTACATGAAAGTAGGTGCTACTACCTCCCAGTGTTATATATTATCACCGATGCTCTGGCAGAGGCAGCTGACACTTCATCCACACAATCCGTATAAGCAAAGAAAGCCGGCACTCTGGTGTATACTCTGCAATCTCGTGTTTATTGTCGGATAACAAATGACAATCACAAATGTCAACGCGTTTCAGCCAAGCGGGCCTTATTCATAAATAAAACCAGTTTGGTTGAAACGCGTTGACATTTGTGGCTGTCATTTGTTACTGGTGTATTTGTCCTGGTGACCACAGTCAATGAGACAGAAAGTGATAGGAAACCCTAAATTTTAGAGCTGTCACAGCACATTATCTAAATGATCATACAGGATACATTCTCCAATGACAACTCTCCAAGGGCCTATTCACACAACTGCGCTACAGTAATGTGTGCTAACATGCAGTAATGCATGTTACATGTGTTGGTGTGCTGCAGTGCCAATGGCACCTTCCCAACACACTGGTGTTGCAGCACAGTGTACATTAATGCACTACTGTCTGTTGTGGTACACGGTAGTAGTGAAAGCACTAGCACAGGCTGGGGCCTTACCAGGGGCGGACTGACAACTCAATTGGCCCCGGGCAATAGGGGATCATGGGGCCCCTGTGTCCTTGCCCAAACTCAAAAAAGCCTATGAAAAAGGTACCAGGGGCATCTCATGGGGGCCCCCTACTGACCCCGGGCCCTCAGGCAGTGCCCGAGTTTCCAAATGGTCAGTCCGCCCCTGGGCCTTACTACAAGATCTAGAACAATGCAGAAGATTCAGCAGTGTAAAACTAACCGACAACAGAACAGATTTAATGAGAGTCCACAGGCCTACAGTGAAGGAAATAAGTATTTGCTCCCCTGCTGATTTTGAATGTTTGCCCACTCACAAAGAAATGATCAGTCTACAAATCGAATGTTCGGTGTATTGTAACACTGAGAGACAGAATAGCAACAAACAATTCAAAAGAAATCCATGTCTAACAAATGATGCACTGATTTGCATGTTCATGAGGGAAATAAGTATTTGATCCCCTTCACAAAACATGACTTAGTACTTGGTGGCAAATTCCTTGTTGGCAATCACAGAGGTCAGACGTTTCCTGTAGTTGGCCCCCAGGTTCGCACACATCTCAGGAGGGATTTTGGCCCACTTCTCTTGGCAGATCCTCTCCAAGTCATTAAGGTTTGGTGGCTGACGTTTGGCAACTCGAACTTTCAGCTCCCTCCACAGATTTTCAAATACTTATTTCCTTCACTGTAACTGGAGTAAGCCTAACTTTTATTTTATCTATGGGATAGGGAGTTCAGTGAATGTGACTGATATCATTTATGTGCAGATTGTTCTTGCATGAACAGCAGCTCCAAGAACAGCTGGTCAGTAAGCTGAGTCCAGGCTTGAACATCTGTCTCTATCCGCAGCTAATGGCTCTGTGTACATGTGAGCAGCAATGGCCGCTGTCAGCCCACCATTATTTTTAAAGGCAGTCTGCCAGCCCTCTAATGCACACACACATCAGGTGTGCTTAGGCCTCCTTCACATAACTGGATTGGTGTGGCCACCGGATTCCTTCATCAAGAGTCTGCAGATTCTTGCTGCTGGAATGACCGAGTTAAGAGATCAGCAGCAGTAGCTCAGCCCATTTAAACTGATGATGGGCTGACAGCGGCCGCTGCTGATCGCATAACCTGGTCATTCCAGCTGCAAAAATGAGCAGATTCATGCCTAAAAACAGCAGCTGTTGTGTGTGTACGTTAGAGGGCTGACAGACTGCCAAGCTTCAGTGAATTTCTGTGAAAATTTCACAGCTTCTGCGAATTTCTTCTCATAGAAATTAGTAGGGGAAAAAAATTAAAAATTTTGTGCCTTTGTTATGAACTTTGAAGATACATTTCTCCATAACGCCTATAGCTACAGAGATAAATGAAGGCTTGTTTTTAAGTGTAAAGTAAGCATATGTGAGCGCACTCAGAAAGTAAAGCAGCTTTGCACAAAGGTAACCAAAGTAAAAAACCTCATAAGAATAATATAATGGTAGTGCAGCGCTAAAATAATATTATGGTCATAAAATTGCTAAATTAAAAGTTCATATAAAAATAATAAAGTTCATAAAGTGACTTTCAGTGCTCTTAAAGGTGCTTGAAATTCTGGTATGTCTGTGATTGTGCAGTGATATGAGTAGAATTGCGCACTCACCAGACGCGCAATTAATATGCACCAAAAAAATTATATCCTGAAGTCATCAAGGTGGGTATGATGTTAAGGTGACTTCCCTCTGAAGGGCAGGGTGGTAGGATGATCAAATCCTGGGACTTTAAATGCTGACCCAACACAGCCAGAGTTCCCCTTAAGGGCTAAGTGGATGCTGCTCCCTGGATAGGCAGGAGGATCCCTCTGGGTACTGGTGGATAGTATTTTCCTTGACCTCTACAGGTAAAGAAGTGAAGAGGAGGGACAACTTTGGAGCTGGCACTGGGAACAGTAGGACTCTGCAAGGAAAATACTATCCACCAGTACCCAGAGGGATCCTTCTGCCTATCCAGGAAGCAGCATCCACTTAGCCCTTAAGGGGAACTCTGGCTGTGTTGGGTCAGCATTTAAAGTCCCAGGATTTGATCATCCTACCACCCTGCCCTTCAGAGGGAAGTCACCTTAACATCATACCCACCTTGATGACTTCAGGATATAATTTTTCTGGCGCATATTAATTGCGCGTCTGGTGAGTGCACAATTCTCCTCATATCACTGCACAAGCACAGGCGTACCAGAATTTCAAGCACCTTTAAGAGCACTGAAAGTCACTTTATGAACTTTATTATCTTTATATGAACTTTTAATTTTGCAATTTTATGACCATAATATTATTTTAGCGCTGCACTACCATTATATTATTCTTATTTTTTAAGTGCTTTCACTGTACTGTATACGTAAAAACGTCAATGCGCATAGTCCAGGCACAGGCTTACTTTGAACTTAGAAAACAGCTAAAAACACAGTTATAAACAATAACGCAGATACTACAGCACTCCCTGAGACCCCCGAGCAATGCAGCCTGGTCAAGAACTAGCCCCAGCCTGTAACTGGACAATGAAGAAGCAGCAGTACCCTTTCTGTACCATGGACATCACTATGCAGGTCTTCAGGGATGCCACCAGGCTGATATACAAGGAGCCACCAACAAACAGTACCTCTATAGGCTCCTTTATTGCTGACTTTCTTGTGCCCGGAGTTCTCTTTTAGTAAATGGAAAAGTACTTCTGTTCTCCTCTTGTCCTAGAAGCCTGCACCAGTCTTACAGCGATCATAAATATCTGGAATACTGCATTACGAGCAAGTTGCATTTTATTTTCTATAGTCCTTGCATGTCAAAGCCTTTCTGAAAGCTATACTGTTTCTGCTGGAGAATGCTGACTCATTTACAATGTTCCATCTGCAAATATCTGACAAGTTAGACTAATTACTGAAAGGCCATAATAAAAGGGAAAAAAAATCTAATTAGCGTTTTTCTAAGATTAGCAATGGCTCCGGGCAATAACACTGCCCGAGATTTGAAATACATTTTTTCAGTTCATTTCCGGAACAAACAAACAAACGCTATCTTTTGCAGACACACAGAGAAATAGTTTTATGGATTGAATAATATAACTGAGGTTTTTTTTTTTTTAAGATTCCATTCCAAGAAGATAATTAAAGAAGAATGAGAAAAAAAAAACATTCTTTATCTCTGTCTGGTTAAAGTAACCATGTCAGCGCAAGAAAAGTCCCCTGCCAGAAAAGACGTAGTATAATAAGCTCCTTCAGCGTACCGAAGTTCCATCCCCAAAACCCCTGGTGGCCAACCTGTGGTTCAGGGGCCACAGGCAGTCTTTTGGCACTTACTGTGCAGTCCTTGGGCCCCCACAGACAATAGTCTATTTAACTTACCTAGGTGTTTATATAAACCAAACTTTAGATTGGATTTTTTTTAAGTTGAATTGCTTGCGTTATTTCTTTTACACTTTCTTACTTTTTTCCTATTCTGTCAATTCCTTTTCCTTTTTTTGTTCTTTTTCTCATTAGATCTTCTGTAATGGCTATTGCTCAGAAAAATACATTTTAAGTAAGTTTTAAGGATGCTATAGGGAGCACAACTGATTTCAAACAGCTGTGATCTGTAGCAATCCCCTGAAACATACTGTATTTCCAGATTATGACTGTTTTCTGAAGCATGTCACTAGTCTCTTACGGCTTCTTCAACATGTTTTCAGTCTCTGACCATCACTTGCTGTTTGTCTACAGCTTCTGGGCACCTCTGTAGAATGTTCCCGGTCTCTGACCACCTTTTTTTTGTATGCCTATAGTCTATGCCCATCTGCTGTAGAATGTTCCCAGTTTCTGACCACCTTTTTATATCTACAGTCTATGACTATTTCCTGTAGGATGGTCCCAGTCTCCGACTATCTCTTTTTGTATCTGTACAGTCTTGTATCTTGTATCTGTACAGTCTCTGAGGATCTCCGGTTCCATGTCTGCAGTCTCTGACCATCTTTTTTGCAGTCTCTGACCATCTCATGTAGCATGTCTTCAGTCTCTGATCATCTCCTGTCCCATGTCTGCAATCTCTGACCATCTTTTTTGCATGTCTTCAGTCTCTGAACATCTCCTGTTGTATAATAAAACTAAATATGCGAGCGCTATTCGGAGATCTCAAAGGACAGCAGCTAGAACACCAAAAGGCAACCAAGAGAAAACCTTCCAAAATAGTACATATAAATATATATAAAAAATATATTTAAGGTGCAGCGCTATAATAATAATAAAAATGACATATATAACATATTATAAAGTGCAAATGTCAAATCACACTACGGTGAAATAAAGTGAGATAAAAAGTCCCAAAATAGATCAAACGTGGGGATCCAATAGATCCTAGTAGGTGCGTGGGATGAGATTCTGTGTATCACACGGTGAATCTGGGGTAAAGATTGCGCCAAAGAGTGCGTCAAAAAAACGCATATAAGGTTTATCCTGTAGTATCGAATAGCGATCATCAATTGCCAAGATAGAGACAGGATCATACACCTTCCAATCGCACCTCGGGTATATACTTCAAATTTTCATATGCGTGTCTCAAGCGTGTCACCATCCGGGGTCCCCTTTTAGAGCAGATTCTGCAAGTGGGGACAGACCTTTTCCAAAATCCAAAATCCACTGGCAGATTGAAGGGTATGATTTGCTTCAACTTCACAGTAATGTTTGGTTGCTCCCCAGTCTGTCCAGCACAGCTAACTGGTTCCAGGTTGAAGCCCTCTCCTGTTTTATGTCTACAGAATCTCACCATCTCCTGCTCCTCATTTTCACCCTCTGACCATCTTTTGTTGCATTTGCGCAATCTTTGACCACTCCTGTAGCAAGCCTATAATCTCTGGTCATCTCTTGTTGCTATTTCTGACAGTTTTCTGTAGAAGGGACATCAGAGACCCCTCAGATCATAAAAGCTTGAAAACCACTGCTCCAAACCCAATGTCACCACAGGCCTA